TTGCCCGCCGTTCTCCGGTCCACGGTGGTAAAAGCCGATGGATTGATATACAAATAGTGGAAACCAACGCAACGCCAGCATGAATAGATACTTATTATTCCCTCCATGTTATTATTTTCTCATACCCACCTTATACACTTCTCCCCCGTTCACTGACCGTACATCCTTCAGCGTTAGAAGCTCAAAAACTATATATAGAGGGAGGGGGCGTCATAACCCAATTATATTACCTTATCAGGCATTTGTCAGGCACCACGAAATGCGAGGTGTCCAAGCTGGGGTGCTTTGAGCTCCATCGCTACTCCAATGTCCACCTCGCCTTGCTGTTGTTCCGCGCGCCCTATGCTCCAGTTCAATCCTCTAAACATCTGATCGCCTCATGGCCGAATTTTTGCGGCGTCTTGTTTCGGGTGGTAAAGCTAGGTTCAAGGATACGAATCTTGACCTTGAGCTAGGTATTTGTGCTTCATTAATTATCGAGCTTCCTGTGACACACACTTTTGTCGTATTCTTCTAGATCTCGCGTATGTAACTGATCAAGTCATTGTTATGGGCTATCCTGCTGCTGGCATTGAGGGCCTCTACCGAAACCGCCGCGAGGATGCTCAGCGTTTTCTTACTGCTAGGCATGGTAGCGACTTTTGGGTATTCAACTTCTGCCCAGTCAGGGAGAACTTTTATGACAAGAGCGTTTTTGGAGGACGAGTGAGTCGCTATCCCTTTCCAGATCATCAGTAAGGAACAGCTATACATTGTCGGTTTGCAATTGCTGAGCACCAAATCCAGTGCGCCTCCCCTTGCCATTCTCCCCTTGGTTTCGAGAGAGATACATGCTTGGGTAACAGTTTCAAAGGACCGAGTAGCTGTCTTACACTGCAAAGGTGCAGCTCGCCCTCCATCCACTTTGCACATCCACTAACTCCAGTCTCGTGCAGCTGGGAAGGGAAGGTCGGGCACGCTAGTCTGTGCTTATCTTCTCTCACTCGACACATTATCTCCTCCTGTTGATAACAGTTACCCTGAAAAGGACTGGGTAGCCGTACGTGTTGACGATTGCATGCAAGTAATCCCCGATGATGCTGCCCTTGAAGAATTAGAGGAAGCAGCCGTCTCCTCCGCATCATCCATTGTGGAAGAAAGACTGTCGGAATCCCGAGATGAAAGTCGAAGTGTTCCCTCCAAGCCCTCTGTGCCTATGTTACAACAGGTATTAGACTTACACACCTCGCGTCGCATGAAAGCGTCGTCCATCTCAACGAACACATCAAACACGAAGCCGAGAGCAGGTGTTAGCATTCCTAGTCAGCGGCGCTGGCTTTTATACTGGTCGCAACTTCTTGCTGGCGAGGGTCCGCCTGGGATGTGGGGACTGTCAGGCATGAAATCGGGCTCGCACGATGACTCCAATCCGCCACCAATTCTCCAGAGGAAAGTGCGCATTACCGAAATTTCGCTTCGACTGCGTGAGCTCTCTGGAATTAAAGTGGGTCTCGTTCGTGCAGCCAACATGCTAATGGATTGCGGAAAGGACGGACGTGGTCTCGCTGGCAGTCTTGGCAATAACCATGTGTGGGCATCGCTAGCACGTTATGACGATGACTTGGTCAATGCTCTAGAGCGTTGGGAGCAAAGTACTCGGGATATCACTAACTTGGGAAGGCGAAATCACGAGTCCTCCGAATCGGTCAGTGGTATCTTTACTAGCGACAAATGGGACAAAGAAAAGATGGTACAGACTTTCGCTCGGATGGGAGATAATGGAAAGCTGCCTTCCGAAATGAATAGCAAAGACGAGGTTCGTCAACACTATAACAAGCTGATCGCACTGTCTAGAGAACTCACGAATGTCAGAGTATTAAGGTTTACAGCTATGTTCTCAGTCCGCTGACTGAGGAGTGTTGGGTGGAAATTTCCAAAGCACCGCCTCAGGAAGAAACTCACAGCTCAGAGGCTTCAGTCAAATCAGGGATGAATTCTATTCATTCCATATCCCGGCCAGTGACAAACGCCAGGATCGGTCGCAGCGGAATAGTAGTTGACGCTCACCGAGAGTTGCGGATCAAAATTTACATGGGTCAGGTATGTATTTATTGTTTTCCGCATGCTATTCCTTACGCCAAGCCTTGGTAGGTGTTTATGACTTGGCTGTGGTTCATCCCAGCATTTCATATTTCTCTTGATACGCCATCCTCATCGTTCACACTGCGTCGAGATGACCTCGATTTCCCGATTGGCATAGGCAAGGGTATTATGGATGTAGAATTGAAAATGGAATGGTGCCAAGATGAAGTAGATGATATGCAAGTGAAAACTACCCGGACGGACTCACCTTCGTCAGGGGTGGAGACTGTCGTGGCCAGCATCGCCGGTGGCGTTGAAGTTGGCCAAGCTGTCGAAAGATAAGGGCGTCAACGATTCGTACTACGGCACTTTACACGTCAAATGGAGGCGGCCGCTTTGCTCTCAGGAGATCTGGGGTCCTCAATTTCCTTCATTGCATGCTAAGGTCCTGAACCCTCGCGCCAACTGCCATCATACTACGACGGACAGTGTAATATAGGACAATGCAGGCTAATATTATGCTTTTTTTCGCGTGCTCCTTATCAGATGTTCCTTCATCGTGACGTCGGGTGTCCGGAAACGAGTAGGGCCCATCAACGTTACGAGTCACGCGGGAAGAACAGTAAGCGCAGCTTTTTGATGTTGCAGAACCAACCATGTGGGTTTCATTTAAGTGTATCAGATGGTAATCACTCATTACACCACGCTGAAAGCGGTCCCGGACCTTGACAGTGAGAAAAGATGAAACCCAGAAGCGAATTGTTTCCGGACTATTTTCAACCATTAGGCATGAGCCTGGGGATTATGTTTCTCATCTTAATACTGTTATAGTGAATCGTTGAGAGTTGGCCTGGGTTAAAGATTGTTTGTTGTACCCTGGTCCCTATGCTGCCATTCGCGCTAAAAGTTGTGTGGTTTGCACTGTCGTTTTCTGGTAAGCAGATTCGGGCATCAAAACCTTCTCGGACTGACGCCACAGCGGTACAGGTATTTTTGCATGCTGGATAGTTCTAACAGTGTTCGCTCGCGCGACTGGGAGCTACTGGGGTCCAATGTTGTACTGCGTCTTTGCGACCATACTCCAGGGAATTTTTTGCCTGGGTGCGTTTATGTTCCCGTGCCAAGCAGGTGAGGGTCGGGGTCGGGAAAGCTTTACTGACTCCTTGAAGGCATGGTATATAACATGAACCCGTTTGATATGCCACCGGCATTTTGCAAAGGCAAGCTTCTATATTGTTCTATGTTGTTCTTTTGTCCTAAAATCTTGAGCAGCTCAGACGTTCATCATATACTATTCCGCTCACTCCTTGACGGGAGTATGTGCCGCGTTCACGATGGCGACGACAAGCGCTGTGGTGTGGCCGTCCTCTGTGATAATGACTGCGTCGTCGTGGGTGGTTTGCACAATTGCTGTACCAATTCGCTTTTGAATACTTATGAGTGAGCAGAACATTGGTATGGCGAAACTATTATCTCTTGCCCATCATCGTGTTTCCGCTTGGTGCACTTGGTGTTGCCGTTCCCGTCCTACTATCCCTTCACGCGATCCAACCCACAGATGATCTTCACTGCGACGCTAGTCATCCCATATGGTGCGTCACTTGCATTACCAACGTCATGGTGAAGCTCACATACGCAGGGGACGATTCTTAGGCTACGCGGGCATATCCATGATCCTCGCCATTCCATGCTTCTTCCTCTCTGCAATAGCAGCCCACCGCGTGTTCAGAATGCACACGGTGCATCGAGAGCTTTTCAAGCTCACACCCCCAGACCCACATTCCCTGTCGCCTGAAAGGGAGGTCAATACCATTGAACCCTCAAAAAATCTGCCCTCTCCGCTTATGCCCGACTCGGATGTGGGTCCCAAGTCCGCGGAATCTGGGAACCATTTAATGGAAAACCATGATCAGGACGTGGCGGTGATGCCAAGGATAGGTATTATGCCTCGTGTTGACGACATGGATGATTCCGCGGCTATGTCGAAGGCGATCCATTCCCCGCGGGCTGAAATTCTTCCGTCCTCCGTATCCTCACCGTCTTTGCCAAAGCGCTTTTCGGAGGCATCGCAATGGGATGAATCTCAGATACGGGACCAACAAGGTACCATTGTGCCCATTGAAGAAGGCACAACTACTCTTCCGATTTCAAGTGAGTCGTTCTGGTAGTACCCTGGTACCCTGGAGTACGTATTTACTTTGCCGTTTAGGTCATCATGGTTATGCACAGCCTAGACAGAGTCTTGCACCTGCAATATGGAGGCTCATTCTTTTTCAAATGTACGCGCGTCGAAGTATAGGTCGGGTCTTTAGAGGTGCTAATGTGCATCCTTAGGGCGTTCTTTATCACCCAATGTCTGGCCGCGCTTTCGACTATCATTGATGTAGCATCACATCGTACATACCCAACGCCTTTTGGGACGCAGCATGTAGCGTTAGTGCTGGTCGGATGGGGACCGTCGATAGTGTTTGGTCAGTTCCTGCCTGTTCCCATAAAAACAGCCTAGCTCACCATTTCTTCAGGCCACCTTCCAGCAGTCCGGCGTAGATTGTTGTTCTGGCGACGTGCGAAGTGTTAGTAGCACCTGTTCGCTCGAAGACCAAGAATGTGTTTATTTTATTGTGTCAACTGCATGCTAATCTACATCATAATAATTCGCTTTTCATCAATCAGTGTGGTTTTGCACAGCCTGATGTTGAGTTTGAGAAGAATTTGACACAGTGCACGCGGTTTGTCGGGAGGGCCACTGTCAAGTTTACATCATTTTAGTGAACCGGAAAGGCGCCGCAAAAATGTTGTCAGTAGGTTTCGAACCAACTCCAAGAGAAACAGATTTTGACTCTGTTGAGGGTAGCCACTTGGCTAAGACTAGTTGTACGGACCTCTCACGAAACCATCCGTGAGTCAATGTCAAGGTGTGTTCTGGTAGAAAAAGACGCGTCAATCGGCAGGTTTTGAACCTGCACAGTCAGAGAGAAACAGATTTTGATTCTGTTACGGTAACCATTGACCTAAGACCAATTAGGGGAATCTCTGACGAAACCATGCATGAGTGTATGTCGAAGTGTGTTGCAATAGGGAAAAAAACCTCTGAAGGAGTGGCGACAAAAAACCTGTCGATTGGCAAGTTTCGAACCTGCACACAACAAGTAAACAGATTTTAATTCTGTTGAGCAATCACTTTGACTGACGCCGGTTATATGAACCACTAACAACATTATCCATGAGTGAATGGCAAGGTGTGTTCCGAAAGAGAAAAAACGTCCTTCAGGAAGGACTGAACCTTCAAGGCGTGTTTCAATAGACAAAAAAGCCTCTCGATCGGCAAGTTTCGAACCTGCACAGGACGAGAGAAACAGATTTTAATTCTGTTGAGCAAGCACTTTGACTGACCCCAGTTATTTGAACCTCTAACACAATCATCCATGAGTGAATGGCAAGGTGTGTTCCGAGAGAGAAAAACCTCTCTGAGGAAGGAGCGAATCTTCAACGTTGGGCATGTTTGAAATTCGAATAGACAAAAAAACCTCTCGATCGGCAAGTTTCGAACCTGCACAGGACAAGAGAAACAGATTTTAATTCTGTTATGCAACCACTGTGACTGATGCCGGTTATATGAACCTGTAGCAAAATTATCCATGAGTGAATGGCAAGGTGTGTTCCGAAAGAGAAAAAAACTTCTCTCAAGAAGCGATAGGCATGTTCCAATAGACAAAAAACCTCTCGATGGGCAAGTTTCGAACCTGCGCGGGACAAGAGAAACAGATTTTAATTCTGTTGGGCAACCACTGTGACTGACGCCCGTTATATGAACCTCTAGCACAATTATCCATGAGTGAATGGTAAGGTGTATTCTGAAAGAGAGAGAAAAAACCTCTCTAAGGAAGGAGCGAATCTTCAAGGTATATTCCAATCGACAAAAAAACCTCTCAATCGGCAAGTTTCGAACCTGCACAGAACATCTTAGAGAAACAGATTTTAATTCTGTTGTAGCCACCACTTAGCTAATCCCGGTTATATCAACCTCTAACAAAACTATCCACGAGTGCCAGTGAATGGCAAGGTTAGAGAGAAAAAAATCATGTTGTCGTCAGGTTTCAAACCTGTGCAGTTCGAGAGAAACAGATTTCGATTCTGTTGGCGGGGATCCCTTCGACCAGGATGCCTTGCAAATTGTCCCAAGAATTGACCATGAGTGATGCGATTATATTAGACATTTGCATTTGTCGGCAGGTTTTGAATCCGCACCACCTAAGATTTCCAATCTGTTATGACTAAGATAGTCTGACCTTCACTGAAGGAACCATCATTGAGTAAACATTGAGTGAATGTTCAAGGCATGGTAAAAGGAAAAAGATTGTTGAACAATGTAACAGATTTCCACCCTGTCAGGCTTACCACTTGACGTCTGTCGCATGAGCCGAAGAACATTATGCATTGACAGTAGAATCACATAGGATTAGCAGTCGCTAACGCAAAATAAAATGAAAAGATGGAAACCATGGGGCGACTTTGAGAAGCGAGTCAGGGGCTGGTGCTGGCGCCGTTTATGTTGCTAATGGGGTATTAATTTCCACAGGGTCAAAAAATGGGCTGATAGTCCGTATCATAACCTTAAAATTTGCCATCACATAAGACGCCACTCTAATTTTGATACTACAATGTAACACCCTCAAAATCATATCCAGTGAGTGATAACAACCCAGTTCGAGCCATAACGGCATAACACCAAAGTATGTATATCGTACATTCTGCCTTTGTATTACCATCGCAAACATGACAAGGCGTAACAGCGGGGCGTGCGTATCGTATGAAGAGAAATAGGGGAAAGGGTCGACATGCTTTTTAAGGCACAGCCGGTATTGCAAGCAAGCGACTATATGCAAAGTCAATAATTGCGGGAGTGCTGAATGTAATAAAGTCTGAAAATTCTATCCTGAATGGACGCGCATCTAGGGCCGGGAAGGTATTATCCAAGGAGACCCTCGCCATCAGAGTGGGCTGCGGAGCTGTAGCCACTACCGCCGATCTCATTGTATCGTGCAATGCGGAGACGCTGACTTGGAGGAATGGTCTTGTCTTCAAGGCCATGTGGAGCCCCACCATGAAGAACACCGACGCGCTTCATTGCAAGGAGCTGCAGAAGATATTGATCAAGATGTAGTCGTGGGACAAGTAGAACGACTCACATTATGTGCGGCGTTACTGTGATCATAAACACCTCCAAAGAATGCTGTAGTGGCGTCTCGGCCAATGTTCTTCGTTAACAAGTGACGGCCTCCTGGGTGGTCGTCAAGGAAGTCTGAAACGTCGTGGATGAACCCAGCAATGCAAATGAGTGGACGACTTTTAGCTTGTTCAAGGTCTACACGATATATTAGAGAATATATATAGCACACGCTGAAAAATACGCACAGCTCTCCCAGGAAATGACGGGCAAGTCACTGTTATCAGAAGGCCATGCCAAGGTCTCCTGGGTCTCGCGAAGACGCTTAAGTTGCATGGTAAGCTGACCTTTGCGGACCTCATTGTCAGGGAACGACTAAAGACCTGCGTGAGTCAATCATCCTAGCGGATTCGCAATAGAAATACCTTGAGATGGCTTGCAATACCAAGCTTCTGGCAAGACCAAATGAACCACTTCGTAGGGTCATATTGATACCACTTGATGGCATTGCGATAGTCCATAGGGAACTGGTGGTGGAAGTTGTGGTATCCTTCACCAATTGTGACGAGAGCAGTGATGAGATGGTCACGAGGACTGTGTTTGTCATCGAATGGTGTTTCACCCAACCAATGAGCAAGTGAATTAACACAGAATGTGGACTATATGCACGAGGTCAAACAATTCATCGGAATAAAATGCAACAACAAACGCACATGGTGAACAAAGCAAAGACGCAGAAGAGCGGCATATATGTAGCCACCTTGCCAGTCGCCCCAACCAAGACCAGCCACAACAGTAGGGAAGAGGAAACCCATAACCACGACAAGGGTCAGGTAGTATTTGTGCTGCCACCTTACAACTTCGTTCCTTGTCAAGTCGCTAACATCAGCAACACCAGGCTTGCGACGGGGCTTGACAACCATCCACCCAATGTGTGACCATAGGAGACCGCGGTGTGCGTTGTATGGGTCAAGGTCGGTGTCAGTATAACGGTGGTGAGCACGGTGTCCTCGTGACCACCATTTAATAGAGCCCTCAACTGCACCTGCACCGACAAATGCAAGAATGTACTGAAGAGGCTTCGACGCGTTGTATGAACGGTGTGCCCATAGCCGGTGGTAACCCGCAGTGATGCCTGAAAACCATGATAAGAAAGCGTATATGAAAATAAAAGCCAAAACTTACCGAGGCCAGTCATGTAATAATATACCACTGACCAAACGGCAGTCTCCCATCGAAGGCGAGTGTAATACGCGCCAACGAGACCTACAACAGGCGTGCCAGCGAGAATTGCAACGTGTAGCCAGTTCAACTCTGTGTACCAGTTGTCCCAACTGATTGGAGGAAGAGATTTTTGATGCTTGAGAGTGTATGACACGTAGTTATCAGGAATATTTGCGTCGGCAGGGACGTGCTCGGGATCCTCAATGAACTTCTTTAAGGGCACTGAGTTAGCGTCGCCATTGAGCTTCGGAGTTATAGGAGGAGTGAGAGTCTCCACCGACGGAGGCGTCGAGCGAACTGGAGAGACGGACGACATGAAGGAAGGTGGTCAAGAAAGAAAAGGAACGGAGTGACCAGCGAGCATTTATTTGGCGCAAATTCTTTGGGGTTGGAGATAATTTGATTTCGTAACGCGCTGCGCTAAAATATTAAACCATTTGAATTTGACACGAATGAAGAATAAACCTAAAAGGTATACGTATCTTTTTCCTCACTTTCTGTCTCTTTTTTTCTGCAACAACTTTGACGCAAACAACTTGAAAACGCGTCAAGGGACTATAAACCTATGTTGTCAGAGTGATGAGCACTCTGGAAGTGCCACCATCATTCGGTGCGCCAACTTGTTGGGGTAGCCCAAATATTTGTTGTCCCAATTTTGGACCAAAATTAGGTGAAATGGACGTTTCCATTTCCACGGAAAGGCTTGGCTCTCTCATGACGGTCGACACAAGGCCATTGCCATCACTTGCAACTTGCAGGTTAGAGTCTGTTCGGCAACCAAATGTTGACCAACATTTGGCCAACATTTGGCCAACATGTTCTCGGCTTCAAGCGTCCCAGATGTCGGAGCTCAAACCTTACACCTCATACCTGTACATCTACCATGAACGCTTATCTTATTGACTGTCATCATCGGCAAAGAATCTGTACTTCTGTTATTGCACTTACTGCTATCTGTGCCAGCTTTACGACGGTTCTTATGGCCCAACCAGAAATAACATCGCAGGCTGACAACACAAAGGCCCACTGGCAGGACGCAGAAGTGGATGTCCTACTTCAACATTTAATTGAGAATCGTGCAGCTAGTGGCGATGGCGGAAACTTTACGATGGCTACCTTCAACAATGCAGCAGCAGCAATCAATGCCGATGGTGCGATCCAAAGAATTGGCCCTCCAAAGATAGGCAAAATGGTCAAGACAAAATGGACGTCGGTATGTGATTTTACCTTGAATGATTATGAATTAATAAGATCGTTTTAGCTCAAAAAAATCTTCAATCAAATTGAAATATATCGCAATGTATCTGGCTTCCACTGGGATAATGTGCGTGGGGCTGGAATTGAGGGCACCGCTGCTGCCAGTGTTTGGGATACATACATTGATCCTAAGGTACGTCATTATAATAAAGTTCATTGCAACATTTCACTGACACACAAGAAGTCACGCGCTGCAATACGGCCCTTTCGCAACAAAGGGTGGCCTCCATACAGCAACATGCAGATGATCCTAGGGGACAATAGCGGCGCTCGTGGAAGGAACTCTTTGCACCCTGCTACCGCACCCCCTCCGTCCATCAACACCACAGATGACGTACTTGATTCCATCGATGGGGGGCTTGACCTTCTTGAC